AATGTATTTTGGATTCTATGCTATTTTGTTCCATGGTTAACATGGCCACCCTGCATATATACTAGTTATTCAGAAAAGCTTCCATTCTTGTAATTGAAAGGTGTAATAGGTCATTAAATTGTGCTTCCAACCCTCCCTTAAAATGATTGAAGAAATATTTGCTTTCATCACAAGATGATTATATAATTTATCTCCGAGGAATACAGGTTGTTGGAGTCTGTATTTTCAGATTGCCCTGCATAACTAGTAACCTAGGGAATTAATTTTCCTTCCACTATCTTTTAAGACTGAACTTATTGATTGTGAAAAGAGTAACATTTTTGTTACAGTAGCATCCAGGAGGAAGATACATTTCTGGACAGGAGCTAAAACACAAAGGGACTGGTGATAGACCTTATTGGCAGACTTGTAAAATAATTAATTTTCACTGCAAAGTGCCTGGAGACTCTGATCAAGGAGGATACTGCTCCTATTTTCCCAATCAGCTTTTACTGAGAATAACTTGAACCAGTTTTCCATTTGAATTTCCAAGGGCAAGGGTCAGAGGTATAACAACTGAATGTTGTTGCTCTTGGCATCTGCAGGGAATCATGACCAATATGGAACAGTGATGGCTTTCTTGAGATCATATGAAACATCAGGCTGTATGCAACCTTAAATGTTTCTGTATGCAACCTTAGAGGTTCATTAAGGAAATGGAAGTTGTATCTATCTGTTTTTCCCTGGCTTGAATTACACTCACTCTTTGGCTTCTAATTTCTGAGATGCTGGGGTCCTATTGCCAGTTTTTCTACCAACTCCTCTAACTGTGGCATCCTCTGCAGCTTTCTTGGCAAGATTTGTTCAGGCTGAGGCTGAGAGCATGTGACTTGCCCAAGGTCACCCAGTGGGTTTTATGGCTGAGATGGGATACAATTCTGGATCCCAACACTCAAACCACTATGCCACCTTTGCTCTCCATAAATGTTACTGCTATTACATAAGCTTTGCTGGTGGTCAATACAGCAAAAATGTTCTGCAGACCTTTCAGGAATGGGGCCCTTCGTCCAACCCTCAGTAGTAGAACTGGGACCCTGAACAACTAGTTACCTCCAAAAGTTACTTTTAGAGGACATTCTAGATTTATTTTGACAGAAAATTTTCTGGATTTCTGCCATTCTTTTAGGAATTCTATGTCTTCAGAACAAAGACAACAGTGGTAAGCAATTGAAAAGTAACAAGTAACACACTCTCTCTGCAAAGTAGCAACAATGGATTTTACCTTTCAAACATTGTAACCAATAATGGGAATATACTTTTAAAAAGTAACTTTTCCTGCTCTGGTTATTTCCACATCTTGTAGCAGGGAATTCCATTCATCTACTACTCTGTAGACCAGGGTTCGATTCCCAGGTTGGCCAGTGGATGATCTTGAGCACATCACATGCTCTCAAGACTATTTTAAGGACCATCAGTTCTTCCACACTGCAAAAATAAAATAAAATAAAATAAAATAAATAAAAAATGAAGAAAATAATAAAGCAGTTTGACACCACTTTATTTTTGCGGTGTGGAAGACTGATGGTCCTTCAGATAGTCTGGACTCAAGTTGTGAAATCCATACTGTATCCATATCCACTATGAAGGAATATTCCCTTTGTTTGATCCATCTGGAATCACCTTCACTGGATGACAATTTAATTATTTAAATAACTTCTTTTTACCCTTTCAAAAGCATTTTCTGAAAATCACATCTTTTTCATTCACATCCTTTTAATGTCCACTTTGGACTGTCCACACAGCAGAAATAATTCAGTATCATGGGGTTTTTTTGGCAAGATTTATTGAGGGGATGTTTGTCATTGCCTTCCCCTGAGGCTGAGAGAGTGTGACTTGCCCAAGGTCACCCAATGGGTTTCATGGCCAAGCGGAGAATCGAACCCTGGTCTCCAGAGTTGTAGTCCAATGTTCAAACTATTATGCCATACTGGTTCTCCTACTACTGGTAGAGTAGTATCACACTGGCTCTCCTACTACAGTCAGCCTTCCATATTTGTGGCTTTTGTGGATTAGATTATTTGTGGTTTTGATTAATATGTTATCTCTAGGAATCTTTAGGTCCTCCAGTGCAACTCTGCCAGAAGTTGACCATAGAGTTGTGCTGAAAAGCCTAGAGTAGGGGCCGGCAACCTACGGCCCTCGGGCCGGTTCTGGCCCAGGGCCCAGCGCTTATCAGCCCAGGCAGACGCTGCCGCCACTGCCTGCCACCACCGCCACGTGTTTTGGTCACCGCGCAGCCATGTGCGCTGCGACCGCCATTTTGTTTTCCACGCATGCGCGCTGCCATTCTCCCCCCGGACCTGCCGGAAGGTAGGACTTTGGGGGATCGTCCCCCAGCTCAAAAAGGTTGCCTAGAAGTTCTTAGAGAAAACACTTCTCTAGCCATTTGTGGGCTCTCCAGCATCATTTTACAATGAACTTCTGGCAGATGTTAACCATAGAGTTGCATTATAGGGCTTGGAGATTCCTAGTGAGGTAAAAAGAATAGAATCAAAGAATCATGGAGTTCGAAGAGACCACAAGGGCCATCCAGTCCAACCCCATTCTGCCATGCAGGAACTCTCAATCAAAGCTTCCCTGACAAATGGCCATCCAGCCTCTGTTTAAAGACATCCAAAGAAGGAGACTCCACCAAAATCTTTGAGGGAGAGTGTTCCACTTTCCAACAGTTCTTACTGCCAGGAATTTCCTCCTAATGTTGAGGTGGAATCTCTTTTCCTGGAGCTTGCGTCCAGTGTCCCAGGTCCTGTTTTCTGGAACACTCCCTCAGAATAGTGGGGTTTTTATTTGTGGTTTTCCCACATTTGCAGGGTCCTTCACTCCTAACCACAGTGAATGTGGAGGGACCACTGTACTACTCCTTTGACTACTCCTTTTGTTGTTACCTGTCCTCTAGTCAATTTCAACCTATGGTCCTCCTTGGTGGTCACTATTTCTTTTTCCCTGGATGTCCCACGGGGAGCCTTGCATCTTCTCTGGGTCTTGCCTAGCTGCCCTCCCATTCCTTCTTAGTTGCAGACTGCCAGAAATAGTGCAAATTGAGACCACTTTTAGGGTT